CCCGCTGCTATTATAAGGATACCGTGCCCGGGTTAAGGGCACCTTCAAAAGCAGGGATTCTGCTATCAGTTTAAAGGCCCAAGCAGGATTCTATTGTAAAAGATGCCAACCAGCGAGAAGTTACTTTCAAATGTAATGCTACACAGTAAATAAAGAGAATTACATCAACACAAATAGGTTTGAGAATGTGTTGAGAAATCAAACTTACTTCAGCAATATCCTTAAATAGTTGTTCCTCCTGCTTGTGATCTATTGTATACGAATGGCTCACATTGTGCAAAGCTTCTTTCGCTTCAAGTGCCGGAAAGACTATGTCATCTTCAGCGTTGCTATGTGCTCTGTACAGTCCCCACAGAAATTGAAATCTTCCCTGAAACTGCCTGAGAAAATCTTCATCGCAATCGGCTAATTTAGCAGACTCACTATCTAAGTACTCCAGATCCTTCCGAATAGCCTTGTGGAACTGAAAGATATGATCGATTGGCTTTGGTCCAGAACCAGAAGTTAGACCTCTGTCGCTACCCCATCCAAAGAGCCCGGAACTCAATGAACTACTAGCTGAACTTGTTGAATAAGACAACAAGGCTGTCCCTGAAGAACGGGCACTAATACTTCCACAACCTAAACCTGGGGCACAGCATGCGGAAGAACCTCCACAACGATCTCTACTCTTGTCAACCTCCCTTAGATTATCTCCGCCTTTAAACTCGACTTCTCCCCACCGTGGACGCTTTGGTGCTCTCGTATGAAGAGTTTCCAGAGAGTCATCTGGCCCATGTACAGTACCCACATCTACTGAATTTTGATTTGAATCTGGTGGAGGAAGGATCGATCCGCTTTGCAAGTACTTGCTTCCAATCCCTGCATTAAGTTTCATCCTCATTACAGGGCAGTCATCGACTTTTGTGGATGAGAGACATCGAATGTTTCCAGTGCTAGAGAGATTTTGTGGATGTCCTTTACATGCCCAGCCTGAGAAGAGGGTGACGAGAGCCATGTCTTCAGCGGGAGCTGCAGCATGCGCAAGGACGATGTCAGATTGATACAACAGCCTCAACGAAACCCAGGGTGATAGCATATAATCAACCGAATTTCATATATATATTGAAGTTACCTGCCAGTCGCAAGTTCTGAAGCATTTCCTTCGCTTCGTCCTCGTTCAAAACACCAACTAGCCACGGAAGAACTCGCTCTAGCAACTTCAAAGGCATCACTCTGAGGCTTTGGTATAGTAAAGCACGCTGCTCCTCAATACTGCATTGTGATTTCGTAAAACGAAACACCTATAAGCAGGGCAAAAATTGACAGTTTCAGAGACTTAACACTGATGAAGGTATACAGAAGCTTCTAAAGTCCCTCATTAGAAGGTACTAATCTATTCAAAATGTGCGCTGCGCAGCCGAATCTCTAGAATGCTTCCCGAATCGAATTGATTACCCAAAAAAAAGCTAGAATGACTCTTCTATTGGTCAAAACCTTAAGAGTGCACAATGATAGACATTTGAAATCATCACATCAAAGGTATAATTGGCCCTTATATGTTAAAAATAAGAGAAGACGTGCATTTGAATATGCAGCGAAAGAAAGCAGATTTAAAAGTTGTGTGATAAATTTGAACCTCCTCTTCCTCCAATAGATGTTGCTGAATTGATTCTACAATAAGTTCTGCTTTCTCACAAAGTTCACGATGCAATTCAGTAACTGTTGTGCTATTGTTCACAGCTGCCTGTACACCCTTGAGCAAACATAGCACATCTTCAAATCGTCGATCCTTCTCAGCATGATCCATGAGGTATGTCACTCGCTCCTGAACTTTCTGGTGCAAAGTAGGGCACATCAATTTATCCTCCGCCGAACTGCCAAATCACAAAATCATCAGAATGTGCGTGAATGTGTGTATTAGTGGTTTATAAGGTCAATTCGTGCAGCTTCACAATTCTATGAAACCAAGTTGAAACCTATTTCGGCGACAAAATTGTACAATAGTAATATTAGCAACAAAGATAAAATTGTAAAAAAAATTAAAAAAAAAAAAAAAAAAAAAAAGCACTATCTGGAGGCATTTTCTTGAAATATGTAAGAGCTCTTTGATTGGATAGATAGCTCGATTTATAAGAACGTTACCTTTGAAAATTGCACACATCGGCCAAAAATTGAGACCGTTCAATAAAAGCCGTTAGCTTCGCTGGGGATAAAGCTCCCAATGGTTGAATTTGAGCTGCTTCTTCTGCAATTTCTTTCAGCTCTTTGCGGATTGCATTGTGCCAGTAAAGAAGCTCCCTCAGGGGAGAAACCAATGGTCCACTTTTCAGTGATTTCGTTTGCAGATCAGTCTTCTTCATTGAACTCTCTCTATCCAATTCCCATGTCATTGCCAAGTCTCCCGCCACTCTTGAATCAATTGCAGCCCAAGCAGCCGATTCAGCGTCTCTGCTCGATTTAAGAGTATCATCGGAAACTGCTGCTCTATTACCCCCTCTGAGCCATGCAAGCACCACCTGCATAATAAAGTAAAGTGAAAAAAACGATGACGGAATCGATTAATAGCTCACATTCGAAAATAGCAACAAACTAAGAGATGAAAGTGAACCCACCCTAGTCCCCTCACACACGATCCTTAATATATAGTTCTACCTCAGTCCTAAGGCTTACAAATAAAAAACTAAAAAGAAATAATTTCTTGTTTCCGCACATGTTTAGAAGGTTGAACAATGTTCGTTTTGAGCATAATAGAACACTGAGAAGTGATTTCAAAGTCTAACCTGTTGTAGCAACTCCTCTGGTGGAACGACTTCACACATGACAGCAACCATCTGCTGGCGATCCTCATCTGAGAGGGAAGAAGCCAACCATGGCAAGAACTTCTCCATGAGATTAACAGGAATACAGCAGATGAATTGCCACACCAGTCCAGCTTGTTCCTTATAAGTGAAATGTTGCATGAGAAGAGGAAATACCTGCACGTTAATAAGAAAAATGAGTCGACACCTACAAGACAATTCATCATATGCTAGTTGAGAGGCTAGGACATGACAACTAAAAATTGAAGGACTTAGGGCAAAAGTTACAAAAACCATCTAACAGAAAACGTCAACAACAAAAGTACAAGCCACGGCACTCGGAGTTACGCCTCCAGAATTGAGACAATAAAAACATGAAAATAAAATATGGCGATAATTGGACTTCAGAACCAGAAATTAGGGAGGCTGCGAAGTTCTCCAGAGACATAATATCGCATTACGGCCACCCACATTGGTGCCGACCAAAACACACAATGTACTCACATTCATTGCAATGCTGCAGCCTTACGACATCACATAAAAAAGTGCTTAATTGAAGCGGGTCCTCGTGCCATCTAATAAATGGTCTGTAAATTCAACGCGTAGAAACTAGAAGGCTCAGATGACCAAGGGCAATTTTTACCTGTTCCTCTTCCTTAGATAAATGCTGGCAGAGAGTGGTATGTAGGGCCTCTGTGCAGGATCCAAGCTGGGAGTGCAAAGACGAGGCGACTCTTCCATCTTCAGCCAGAGGATTACTTAAAAGCTGTGCTATCTGATCGAATTGATCGCTCTCTACTTTGTGCTCCAACGAGTAGGAATGCGCTACATTCTTGACACGAGAATCAAGGGCAGGTAATATAACCTGTTTCGAACGGAATTCACCAGATTATTCGCACATCTCAACATACGACATCACACAGACAGCAAAAGAAACATTCTTTGCGAAGCATCTTTAGAGGAATCTAAATGATGGAGCACGAGTGACCACATGCAAAGCTGAAATTAGTACCGTGAACATGGGCAATCAATATATCTACAGGGGGATAAGTGGTTATCACTTAAGAAGATTTCTCCTGAGCTGCGGCCAGCGACGACGAGACCTAAGCGAACAAATTACTTCAGTGCTCTCAACAACTAGGACAACGACCAGATCAATGAAATTAAAGATATGTTTGCTATGTTGCTGCAGAGACCAGCTAGGGTGGTCCTGTACCTAAGCTTCCAATCTCCATATACTTCAGCCAGCAGCTCAACACAGTATTCCATTAAAATTCCTCCTTTCTACAGATCAATTTGGGGAGTCCGCTCACAGGAGACTGACCTCATCTTCTGCGCTGCAGAAATGCTTGTAGATTGTGCGCAAAAATCTGTATCGGTCAATTAGGGCATGGATATCCTCCTCCGTCCCATTCTCAACCGCCAGCGCATCCCTATGAAGCCTACCCACCTCCACGCGAATGGCTTTGTGAAAAAAGACGAACTGTATGATGGGAGATGCCAGCGGCACGCACGACATGCCCATGCCGAGAGCAGTTATCAATGGCGTCGAGATTGGCTGGAAGGATTGAGGAAGAGCGACAGAGGTCGCCATTTTACATGTCGTCAGCCTCAGCAATTACCATTGCCGTGAGGCCTTCCACTGCACCTACTCACCTACCTCCTAAGCGTACTCTGGGCATTAATAGCGAGTAACCCCAGCTCGAATTTTCTCGCAATGTGGGGATTCCAATGTCTGATAAGTAAAATAAGCACACACCAACGTGCAGCTCTGCTTGCAAGCTCCAAATGTGTGTAAATAATCCATGTGTCCCTGATGCAAGAGCTTTTTCAAATTCCGGAAGCGGTTACACATAAAAACAGACCAGGAAAGGAGAGCACTCATGCGCTCTTCAAAACCAACCAAAATCCTCAAAACCTTGATGCCCTTCACACATATCCCTAATTCTGCAGGAACATGCAAACCTCGACCTGTCCCAGAGGCACTGGACAGAGGGAGCAGAAGAGGTTACCATGCCAGCAGAAACAGGGGTGGAACATTTGCACGCCGTGATGAGAACCTACGATACACATATAAACCAAAATTTCGAAAGACAGGCAATCGTATCACCATGAACAGCCGCCCTAATTCAGCCCTCAATAACCATACAACACTCTCATGGAGGAATCAACCGAGGACGAGGCAACACGAAGCGCTATAAGTGGCTAGCGGAAACTGCACAAGAAGAAAGCGACCGAAACAAAAGATGTGGAAAAGAGGACTACGTAAGGTAGAGAAAACAGTGGGATACGATTGCTGTCCCAGGCAAGGATAAAACACGACAACGAGAACGAAAGCGCGATGAGAGAAAAGGAACGGAGGGAGGGTAAGCAAGAGGGGGCGCCCGATGAGGCAGCCAGCCAAGCCAAGCCACCCAGCCACCCAGCCAACCACTGGTGTAGCAGCAGTAAGCAGCAGCCACTTTCAAAGGGACGGTCAAGGCGGGGCGTTATTTAGACGGCGCTGATGAGGAAGGCCAATCAGAAGCGAGAGGACGGGTGGGAGTGAGTAGTGGCGACGGGCGGACGGCGCAGAGCAGCGGGGCACATGGAATGTTGCGCTGGCTTGTGGACGGGCACGTTGCACCACAAGCCTCCACCCCCCAAACCCCCTTCTGCACTTTCCACCTCTAACCCCCCCTCCCTTTCCCCTTTCCCCATCCCCAGCCGCCATCTCCTCTCCTTTCATCCTCCCCTCAGCGGCCCCGCATTCATCCACCCTCATTCATGCTACTTTCTGTGTTTTCATCCATCTCGGCTCCACGTCGGATCTAGAGGCCAGCATTCATCCACATTGTTGCTTTTCGTCGCACGAATTTAGAAAAAAAACAATCCGCTGAGTGAACTTTATACGTTTTATACGAGTGTTGTGTGTGAAACGGGATATTTCCACCTACGTTGGATGTACGAATAATTCTTAGTGTTCCTCATTCTTTGTCCAGGTAGCATTTCTGGTAAATAAGCTTAGTGTTGTTGTGTTTTTCTTGTAGTTATCAGCAATTAGTTACATTTTTATTGTCTGAAAGAGGCAATTCCTGCAGTTTGTTGGATACTCGTTGTAATGTTGTGATTTGTGACTCGTTGAAAAAACTTATTCCAAAAAATGATAATTAACAAGTGAGAGTATATAAGACTACTGTCTAATAGTAACACATAACTAATGCCATATTGAATAAGTGCAAAGAAAAAAACAAACAAACAAACAAAATTAGTTGCATGCATTTTTGATTGTAGGAGAATATGTTTCGTGTGTTGCAAATTCACACACAACTTCAATGACAATATTTTCAAAAAAGAGCATAGATTATGTTTTACTTACACCATCTGTAAAAGATAAATTTAAAACTTACATGTATTTCTATTTATATGTAAATGATTGAATACTTCTTACTTTTTCAAACCAACAATCAATGCTTCCCAATTCAATCATATTTGACATTTCATAAACTTTTACAAATATTTGTGATTGTTTCTATCAATTATTTTACAGGATCAAATAGAATTAAACCAATCAGTCCAGATTCAATCGAGATGATTGAGTTGAGCTGGATAATTCTGTAAAACTGAATACTCACAAACGTCTACAGTGCATCAATCTTTTACTTTTCTTTATTTTCTTCTGTAAATATTAACAAAAGTAAACTTTTTCTGTTAGTTGAAATGCCTGCGTTCGATTTCTGTTTAAAGCGGCTTTTCTAATTATATAAATGATAGTTTTAAAATGAACCCATTGTAAGATGATCAAACAAGGTACCGTATGCTTACACTATAAAAATTGGACTATTTCTAAAACTAACCACTTGACGTGACCTACACTTTTTGTCTCACTAATTTAAGGATTACGACAGATTTGCACATTGACTTTGGCTATATTAAGTGGAAATCATGAACGGGTGTGTCCAATCAATCCCCTGCGTGGAAGTGGTGCTTAAGCGAATAAATGATTTTGGATTTCGTAAACAATTATTCATCCTTTAAACGGAGAGGGTTGGTGACACCCGCTCCCCGCCCTTCCTCATCCGACCCGGCCCGGCCCGTCCCTAATCTGCACAGGGGCCGTAGAAAGATAACGCGAAAAGCAGGGGCTAGAGTGCCATGCACCGCCACGTGCATTGGAAATCGAATCCATGCGCGGCACTCATCGTCGAGAGTAATACGCCGCGCACCAACAGATCATTTCCTTCAGCTTGGTGAGCTTGGCAGCAGCAATTAGAGCTCAGTGTTGCCTTTTTTTCTGACCTTTTTCTGACTTGAACTGCGCCGGGACACCTTTTTCCTGCTTGTGGCTGTTAGCTGTGTGGCGCCTCGCATCATCATGCGTAGTCTTCAAAATGTTTCGCGTGTGTTGACAAATATATGTACGGGAGGTGGAGGGCTGGATTCGTGCCTGTCGACGGTGTTATCATTATGTTTGACTCACTGTGATCTGCGCATCTCCGGGAATTATTCGTGTTTCCAATGTTGAATGATTCAGAAATGGAGCACGAGCTGTCAGTTGGATTCATGATTCTTCGGCAGATTACTTATCCTCTATCATTAGTTCTGCTAGGCATCGTGGATTGCGAAAAATTGCATTCGCAGAGCCCGATTCCAGTAGCCCGGCTGTTACCAATGAAGTGCTCATGTAGGTGGCCATTGAGGAACTGGCAAATCGTTACTGGCTTCTATGGTGACATTATCCCCATTGAAACACAAAGGTTTGCGGACCATACTAATGTTAAGTGAGGCATTGGACAAAGGCGCAAGGAATCTTGTCAGGGCGTGAAGAACTGCGTTGAGAATGTGGGAGTGAGGAACTTCAGTCTGATCGGGGGAGGGAGGGTGTGGAGGCGCTGGGAAGTCATCGAAGGCATGTAATTTGTCGACTGCATCCACAATTTGAGAGACGTTAACGGGAACAAGATCAGCCAGTAAGATATTGTTGCCAGTTTCAATTATGTCAGTTGCGGACGATGAGTCTTTCTAGCACCTGAATTTTCCTATCCTGAATGTCTTATAGGAAGTTGAGTAATGTGATGTAATGGTGAGGAATATCATAGACACTCTGCGATGGTGTTGATCCTACAGTACTAAAGCTGATCGGAGATTCACGAGTTGTGGTGGCAGAAAGTCGCTTCAACATACCCTTAGCGAACTTGCTCATTTCCAAGTTCTGGAGATATCAGGAAACCTATCATCACCTCAGAAACAGTTCTCACTCACCCTTTTTCTCGGTTCACTCCCGCTTCACCAAGCATATTCCTGCCCGTATCGGCTAATTCTATCGCAATTAACAACGCATCTTACTAACCTCCCCTCTTACTATTTCTCCCAGCATTGTACCAGAAAATCTTATTTCTAACTTTGAATTGATTTAATGGAGTGAACTTCCGATTGTTGTGAGCACTATGTAGGAGAAGAAATTTGAAATTTTGATTCTTAGCTTAAGTCCTCTCATCGGGAGGCTCACATCCTGTGCCTAATAACAATTTTGACGATTGTGTCCCTCTATCTTCACAAATATACAGATTTGAGTTAGTCGAAGGTGTTCAATTAAAGTAACACGGTATTGACGATCTATCACTTCGAAATCTGTCAATGAAGAAATACTCCATCTCTAACTACTAAGGAGTTTGCATAGATGACTACCGCGAATGTCATGTCGTAGAAAAGACGTCGAGATTACTCAGTTTAGAATAGAAAATTATTGGCGATTGACTTCAGTATGAATATGGATTCTTTTTGTGCACAGAGATTGACAAGGAGTAAAAAGGAATATGCCATCACTAGCCCACAAGTAAGAGAAGAATAAAAACCAGAGGTAAGCAATTCTATCCCTTTTGTCAATTTATTCAACCAATTATGATGTAAGGAAAGTCGAGTATGAAATATCTAAGAGGTATAGTGTTACTGATGATTGAGTCAAATTTTTTTGGAAACTGATGTTAGACTTGATTGTATTCAAAATGGTAATCAAGCATGACAGTGATCACCATTGTAGTGCTTACCATTATTACAATGAACCTTTGCTACAGAACATAAACAAATTGGTGAAAATTTGTGTCCTTGTGTGGACTTCAACCACTAAAATTTCCTGCTAATTTCATAATAATAAAACAGCAATGTTAAGCTATTGACAGTAAAACGACTATAGAAGTTAAAGGAATACATTTGAATGAAAATTTTGACAACCTGAAGACAGAAGTGTTATTATAAAATCTTTGTGATTACTATTACTTTATCATGTTAGAAGCAAAATTAAATATTACTTACTTCAAGTTATGCATACTAACCACAACCTATTTGAAAAAATGATTACCGAAATGTTTAGAAAATTAAGACTTTTCAACATAATATGAAACTGGTACTTATAAACGTTTTGAATCTAGATATTAGTTATGTTTAAACAATTTAAAAATTAACAAAGGAAGCAAGAAATGACACTAGTCTTGAAATGAATTAATGCATGCAAAAAAAAAAAAAAAAAAAAAAAAAGAAAAAGAAAAAAGAAGAAGGTAGAATTGGAATTAAAAGATGTTTAGAAACATATTAAATATATTTACGTGCATTGTATACATATGAGGTGAATTCATTTTTAGATCATATCTTAGTAGTACGTAAATAGACGATGATTGATCAAAATTAGTGGAATCTATGAAACATGTTATTTACACACAAATATATACATATTCATACAAATATCCAAATGTAAATATTTAAAGTTAATACTAATTTCAGAACTGAATAAAAAAACCTAGATTATACTTTGTTAATTTCAATTATATATATATATATATATATATATATATATATATGTGTATGTGTATAAAATATGTATATTTTAATGATTACAACTTTATGTTTATTATAAAGATTTAAAATATATATATATATATATATAGGAGAATATTAAATAGATCTATATTTTTATTAAATCAATCCATCTATGCTAAAAGAATATTATAATCATAATAAATATGATTGTTTTTATTGATTGTGGATCTAGTAGTAGAGAAATGAATATAGATTTTATTTATTTATTTAATGATAGTTAAGTTGGGTGGCTTGATTTCATAAAAGCTTGAGTCTATATAACATTTTCACATATATTTAAATATATATATATATATATATATATATATATATATATATCTTCATAAAATATAGGTTTGTTTAAGTTTAGATTAAGATTATAAAATAGATGACATAAATAATCAAGATAGTATTATATAAACATATATAAAAATAAAAGTAAAATCTCATTTTATTTTCAATATTTTTTATAAAATATAGAATTTATATTAATAAAATATACCAATATATGATTTAAAAAAATTACAAGTCAGATATTCAAACTTCTATAAACTTCAAATAAAAAAAAGAAAAGAAAAAATACTATAAATAAAAATCAACAAATAAAAAAATAATATAAATAATAAAAATAATTTTATAGAATATTAAAATTAATCCATATATTTGTTAAATTTATCCATACATCATTATACACCTTCTATTCTTTGCATACAAATTCTTAAGCTCAATCAATATTGCAATATTCTTGTAGCATCTATTATCTTTATTATTACAACCATTATTAAAAAATAAAACATCTCCAACAAGTTCGAGATCTACAACTAATGAAAAAAGGATTGGTAAGTGGTACAATTATGATTATGTTCTTTTTCATGACCTTTTATCTTTCTTGCCACTACAAAATTATACACTACAAAAAAACTTCCAACTACACTTTGTCTTTTATATTCTTATTGATACTACAAATCTAAATTTCTTTGCAATCCAACTAATTATAAAGTAGAAATAGTTCAAGATGGACATGTACAAACTTTGTGTGTAGTATCTTTGCAATTCCTACAAAGGCATATATTTATAGTTGTTGCTTCAACAATTTCAAATTGCAAAAGTTTTTTTTGATTAGATCCTTTAGAACAAGCACAAATCAATTCACTCAGCCTTGAGAATGATCTTTTAGCCACTTGACTCCTAGATTCTTAAATGTTATGGTTATTGATGCCAAATTTAAAATTTGGTAGCATGCATTTTGTTGTTAGTGAAGTACTGTCATCTCATACATACAACTAACTGTATCAAAAACTTAGATTAGGTTGTCAAAAGAAGCAAACATATTCCATGAAATTAATTTAACTATAAAAAATATTGACCAATTAATATTGAGAATAGAAATAATTGATTGCCAAAATTTTCTTATTCCTTACCTTGCTCTAAATATGATGCTTCTATGAAATATCCATTGTAGTTGTCAATGTATTGTATATGTAATCAAAGTTTTGTGTTAATACTTATTAACCACTTTGATTGGCATATGAAAAATATTAATAAAATAATTAGATTGTTTAATGTTAAAGGCCTCCTTGGAAGGTACATTCATGACTTTGGTCTAATTTGCAAAACAATGTGACCAACTTACTTCCAATTTGAAAGAAAAATACTTCTTGCACTTTATTAGAATATTCTTTTAAATGTGCTAAATATAAGATAATAAGACAAATACAAAAAAGACTTCTTGAAAGTCATTCATTAGTGTAATTCTTAGTCAACGCCTATGGTGAAGAACTTGAAGTTTTTGTACAACTAAACATGTTGTATTAACATCAAACAAAAGAATGACTTAGTCTCTTTCTTGAAGAAGGCAACTACAATATTAATAGACATATTGAAACTTATCATTTCTACCATATTGAGCATAGACATCTTAAATGTTTTGGTTTTGTATGTACAATCTATAATAAAATTGTATAAATATTATTTTGCAAGATGAAAACATTTAAGGTTTGCAAAAAAAAAGAAAAAAAAAACTTATTTTGCTTGTTGCATCATACTTATATGCATATTGATATTTAATATCATGAAAAACTTCCAAATAACTTATAATAGATGGAAGATCATTAAAGTCAAGTTTCTGTAGAAGTTGGCACTTATTGTAGATGATGTGTATAATCATATAAATTATAGAGTCTCTCTAACATAACATAATCACTACATTTCTTAGCACCACCCTCACAATAAGCATTTGAACAATCATCTCTTCATGTATTAGCTTCAAATGGCTAGCGATAGAATGACTTGTCAATGATGTCAAAGACTCATAGTTGTGTTCTCTATTTTGAAATATCAAATATTAATTTTTATTAATGTATAAAATTTGACCATACAATTCAAGTAGATAGCCACTTAACTATGCTACTATATAATGTTGATGGATCAAGTATGCATTCAATTTATAATGGGTGCAACTTATATTACATTTAAAAATAATACAAGACTTATGAGAATGGCATTTAAAAACTTCAAATTATCGGGCATAAATAAAAATATCCACTCTTCAATTTATATTTTTGTATGTTTAAAATGATCCCTTTGGTAGTTTGTATATAATAAGAAACTTTTCATTTAATTTATGGATTTAAGCAAGGTTTTAAACTTTTAACTATTATTGATAGATCATGAATTCCAATAAATTGTATAAAAAATTGATTGTATATAAAATTGTTTGATGAATCAATTTCATATTTAATAGATTTGTAATTCAATACCATTATTTTACTACTAACCAAATTTTTTTTCACTTATCAAAATACTCTTTCATTTGAGTGGATTTAGAAAACATTTTTTTTTTTTTTTTTTTTTTTTTTTTTTTTAAATAATTAAAGCAATGTAAATTTTATCAACTATTCCAGTAATTAATCTTCTGTACCAAAGAAACTATTGTCACAACTTATAAGCATGCATATAAGTAAGAACTCAATGTTATAAAAAATTCTAAAATTGCATCCATTTAAAATAATTTTACAAAAAAATAAAATCAAATTCCATTCATGTAAAAATTAATATTGTGAGGATAGAATTTTCCTCTCAACCTAAATTACAAAATGGACTAAATTAAGAGTTTCTTATAATTGGTGATGTGAAGTAAAATAAGTAAATAAATAAAACAAATAAATAAAAAATTAGTAAAATAAATACAATTAAGTAATTACACTCTGTTCACTAAATTTTTATCTAATAAAATATTTAAATAAAAATAAAAATTATATTTTTAAAATTATAATTTAATTATCTATTTAATAAATTAATAATTATATATATCTAAATTATTATTAATAAATTATAAAATTTTAATAATAATAATTAAATAATTTAAAAATTAAGTATAAATATTTTACTTCAAGAATAACTTGCTTATAGATCAAGGATTTAAGCTTCACCAAAACTCACATGTAGTATATATGAATGTCCTAAAGTAGCCTCAAAGGCTTATTCTTATCTTCTTACCTACATTTACGGTGCTATAACTCATATGGAACTTATGGACCTCCTTTTCTATAAGGAATATACTAGTTATTAGTCCTTCCATTTTTTTCTAAGTAAAACTATATTTTATGCAATATTGATCTCATCATGGTATTTAAAAATATCCAATTAATCTAATAACCTTGCATAGCCTTTACATCTTGCTCCATTTCTTCATAATAGTTTTCAAAGTGGTAAAACTCAATTATATCAAAGTCTTAAATTTTTTAAAAATAAAATAAATGATTCTAAATATATTTTAAATTAAATTTAAAGATCTCTAGAATGTTTTTATAATGCTAATATTAATTTAAAGCTATATTAATCTACTTTGGAATTCTTTTATATTAATTAAATCTATTTAAATCAATTAAATTGTTATTTTTTATATAAATAATTAAAAAGTCTTGAGGTTCTTTTTCATGCTTATTTGAACTATTAACTGATATTAATAAGTTTTTAATAAATAATACATGTAGATTAAAAACAAATATAGACATTGATATCAATAACTAATCATTAATACCGAAAAATATATAAAAATACTAAATCAATTAAAATAGTTGCTTCTAAAATTTACTGAGACTTGATTAAAATGAAGTTTTTCTAATAAAATTCTTGAAAATTATAACTACTTCTGAATTTTAATAAATACTTAAATTATTTAATAAACTTCCTAATATTAATATTTTTATACCTAAATGAATTAAAATTATGTTTTAAACCAATCTACCAATTAAGATTCATTGGTAGGACTTACAAATGCCTAATATTTTCTTCACATAATAGAAGTAAAAGATCCATTTTTTGATAATGGTTATAATAATCAAGATGATGGATATTGCAAGAATGTTATAATGTTGATTGAATTTAAGAATATTTGTATTGATGGTAGACGGTGTATAATGATGGATAGGTCAATTTAATAAATGTGTGTTAATTTAAAAAAAAATGATTAATTAATTAATCATATTGTAATATGATAATATTTATAATAAAAAATAATGATAATATATTAAAATTATCAAAAATAATAACATTAAATTATTTATAATTTAAAAAAGTCATAAATGATGTATATATTAAAATTTTATAGCTTAATTTTGATATTTTAATTTTTTTTATAAATATTTTGATTTATAAAATTATAAAGAAACTAAAAGTAACATTTGTGATCATTCAAAT